TTTCGGATTCAGCATTGACTTTCGAGTACAATTAAAAAAGAAATTAAAAAATCGGATGCAAACCCCAAAATGGATTTTTGGTAAAAAAAAAACCATGTCCATAAGAATAACATTGGAACTTTAAGGGCTTCTAGGGCGGATGCCTGTAATAAAATCATTATGAAAACTGTTTATCTTTCCAATTTTATACCTGAACAATGAGTAGGCCTATACAAAATATCAGCCTTCTCTGGAAGTTGGAGATGATGAATCAGTGCGTCAATGAGTGAGGGCTTTTACTTTTATATGTTTGGATTGTAAAGCATATTTCATATGAACTATGTTTACATAAACGGCACGGGGCATATGGGGTACGTTCATAGAACATGAACTATATACGTAGTCTATTTGTATGAGGCAATTTAAACCCCTTGGGGCGTTTAAAGCTTACGCTTTCTATCGGAGATACTAGGAGAGTATCTCCAATAGTATTTGAGATTACACAGGTTCTGCTCCCGATAAACATTTAGCGAGCTGTTTATTGAAAAGCCATTTGCAGAGCCGGGTATCAGGGAGCAGCAAATGAAACATTAAACTTTCATCGGGCCACGTGCTCAACACTGGTACAACGTGAATCTTTAAATTTCAATCTATCAGTAGTTACTTCTAAGTGCTTACGTTCATCGACAGTTGAAAGTAAGGGCATTTGTGAATGCTTCTCTTACATGGTACCATTTATAAAAATAATAACAGTTAAACAGGAAGAAATTTAGACAAGTGTTGTTGAAATATCTGGGTTATAAAACTTAAAGTGCACATTCATACTGTAATTTGACGCTATGTTACGTTTTTTATATTTTATTTCCCATGATAAAACCTTATTAATAGTATTTAATTCTATTAAAAAATTGAATACTTCCCTTGTGGCCTCCATATTCACTAATTGTGTTACCTGGATATCAGCATCGGCGATCTTGGGCGATTTGACTTAACAATAAAGAATTCTGCGAGAATAGTAATAAAAAAGACTTTGTAATGATTTTATGCTTATTTTTATTTAACGGAACGTTTAATGTACACATTACTTCATACAACAGATAAGCATAAAGTAACTTTAAACAAAATATTCTCAAACTGTGTCCTCCCCCATAGCATACATGCCTCCAACGATATCCTCTAATTTGTTAGAAATACCCACGATTACTAGAAAAATACCGGTATGGATCATAAACATAAACAAATTACGTTATTGGCCCGAATCCTATACTAATAGCATTGAATATATGCTTTGACAGTTCCATTTAAGCAATGTTAAATACAGTTTTTCAGGCCAAAAACGTCATTTGTTTATGTTTATGATCCATACCGGTATTTTTCTAGTAATCGTGGAAATACCTTAGTTTTAGATCGAAAATAACATTTATGCCATGCTCTCTTATGAGAAAATAAATTTTCGCTATAAATTGTAAATATAATTTTAATAATTCGAACATTATTTTGTCTCATGAATTGCCAAGTAGCCGTTAAAGTTTCACGAACATCCAGGTTCACTATTTTATCTTTTTTGAAAATTTCCCATAAAGGGAATAAGGACTTACTTTTTCGTTTTGATGTCTCCAGAGGCCAAAAACACAATTTTTTTAGGGAGAGCTGGGAAAATGCGTTTATGCACACAGGTGGCTAGCCTGTAGTGTGGGACTCCAACGGGCTTAAGGCCCAGAGACTACCCACTAAAAACCTCCTCAACTCTTCGGACACTAGCCTGGGAACACTTGTCGCACTTCATCAGAACTAGGCCGAGTTTGCCTACGACCGAAGGGCTTACACCGTGTCTAGCCGTTCATTTCTTATAAACTCTAGACCGTGATCCGATCTAGATCGTTCTTTTTAGCTTGAAGGACATTCCGGACAAAGTGCGACCAGCAGTCCCAGTTGTCCTCACCCTTCAGCAAGGTCTCACAAATCGATTCAATCTACGGCATCCCAAGATGTTGAATGGCCTCCTGGCGGAGCATATCCCATCGTGGACAGCGGAAAAAAAGTGTGTTCCGCGTCGTCGGGAATGCATGGGCAGTATATACAGTCAGGCGAATTCGTTTTGGCCATCAAGTGCAGGTACCTACGACTGAAAATAGCCGTGACTGACAAGAACTGTGTGAGATAGTAGTCAACCTCCCCGTGCCGCCGTTCCACCCACGGTTGGACCTGTCGGATGAGTCTGGCCACAGAAAACTACCCATACTGTTTTCTGTGGTCTGGCAGTCCAACGTCCTCGAGTTTCCCTTTCCCAGCTTTCTTGCCACATCTGAAAAGTGCGGGAGCGCTCCTCCGATCTTGCGGTATCATTTCCAATGTAGCCTTGTCTCCGGTGGATTGCCTTCCTCTCCGCTGCCAAGAGTTTGACAGGGATATCTTCAGCAATTTTCAAAACGGCCGGTTCGGATACCGTACGGTACGCGGTAGCGACCCTGTCCCTGAGTGCCGCCTGACGCTGCACTCGTGCGAGCCTCCTGTACGCCTCCTTGTTAAGCGCGTCTGCCCACACCTCAGAGCCGTAGAGAAGCACGGACTGGACTGCAGACATCAATAGTCTTCTTAAGGCCAAAAACACCATACACATTGAACATATACTAATATTAGAAATGTGAAAGTTTGTGTGTGTTTTGATCGGGGTCATTCACGCATTAACTACTGGTCGGATTGGGCTGAAATTTGGCATGATGATAGCTTACATTCCCGATTAACACATAGGCCTATTCTTATCTCAAAAATCCTTTCGGGCTCTGTCCCAGTGGCTCCCAGCATAGTTAGAAAGACCAATGTATAAGAGTGGGGTTTTTGTAAGTGTAAATACAGTTTTTGCCTAGTATAAAGTCAGAGGGAGATAAATGAGTTTTGCCACTTTGTGTCATTCGATCAATCCACATTGCCAGTTCACAAAACACCGCCCTCAACTGCACAATCAATCCATCAGATTTTGGGAAGGAGCCAGTTATACAAAAAAATATTTGACGATGCGGTTTTCGAAGCTTTATTTTCACAACCTAGGCCTACTACCAACAAATTTTCATTACAAAGATGTAACTCTAGATATTTTTTAGGTTTCATTAAACATCTATAAATTACGTTCCAATGTAGTTCATGTTGCTTAATGGAATATGCCTAGTATGGTTAAGAATACGTTTTACAAGAAAGTCATACAAATATTTAAAGAAATGTAATAATATTAATTAAATTATGATATTTCCCAGGGGAGAATACTTTTAGAAACTAGTCCGAAGAAGAGCTGAGATAAGCTGCCAGTTGGGTGAAAGTAGGTGCTTCAGAAATAGTCTATAAAGCAAATTAACAATATTTATTGTTACGTTTTTAGAATATTTCCAAAATGAATAAAATAAAATATGCATGGTAAAGATAAAAATGTATTGTACTGTATACGTAAAGCGGCCGAATTTATGCGATAGTTTGTCGATTTATTTGTTTACCTGTTTCGTGACGGTATATCTTTTGACTAAATTCTTTTATATAGGTACTCGTAATACATAATTAACTAGTGGCATGTAGGGACATATGACCCTAAAAAGCTTAAAATGTAAAACAACTTATTGTAATGTAATTGAACAAACTACGAATCAAATTATTTATTTGTCTAGATGGAAATCCCTGTACCCATATCTTTGTGTAAAAGGTCTCTCAGTTTGCTTTTTACACATTGACTGTTTAAAATTAACATATGTTTTTCTTCGGGGGAGCAAGCTGGCGTAGTGGTTAGAGCGCAGGACTTCAGTCCCTGAGGTCCCGGGTTCGATCCCCGCCAAGTGACCAATGGATTGTTTCTAAGAGATAATGCCGCAACCCCTAGGTCTAGAGCCTGAAGTAATGTGAAAAACAATCCCAGGCTCGTCCCTAGCGTCCTAGGACAAAAAAATAAATGTTCTTTTCACTTTTAATTTTTGACAAACTGGAGTTTCATAAGAATGTTTGTTTCCCGTGTTAATCTTATGGAGAAATACGAAACTTTAAAGGGCCCCATGGCCTCACTCTCTAATTATTTCCCTAAAAAGAAAGTTTCCTGCACAACTTCACGTTACGCTCTTTCCAATGACACCAAAAGCATGTCAATCGGTTCAGTAGTATCGGAGGAGTATTATCACAAAATACCCCCGCCGCAGCAAACCTGCAGACTAAGCGAATTTCCATTAACCTGATTGGATTTACACTAAAATGCTTCCATAAAAAATAGCACATTTATTTCCTATTTAAATAGAATTAGTTTAAAGAGTACTTAGGTTTGCTGCAACAGGGAGGGTAAAAAAGATTTTTTTTATAAAATGATAATAGTTTAGTAAGAAATAAAAGTATTTTCCAAAATCTATCAAAATATGTTCATAACAAGCAAACTACAACAGTTGACTTATTCTCCATAAGAATAACATGGGAATTTTAAAATTACAATTTCTTTGAATTTTCTCCGTAACAATTAGGCGCATAATAACGCTTCAATATACTAAATTATTTGTTTTTTTAAGCTCTACAAAATGGTTTAAAAAGAAATTGTGAAATTTTGTGTTTTTAGGGTCAAAAATGGGAAAAACCTATTTTTACCCCATAAAACCCCCCATAAACCCCCGTTCCTATAGTCCGATCATGCTGGTTCGCGAACTCGTTCAAGTTTATCCCGCCTTACACCTTCAAACCAAATTTTATCAAATTCGGACAAAAATTACTCAAGTTATCGTGCGGATGGACACACACACACACATATATATATATAGATATATACAAATTTGAACGAATGGTGTTATTGGCCTCTAGGGACATCAAAATGAAAAAGTAAATCGGTCCCGGTCTTAGGTCTTACCATGAGACCTACGGTAATAGCTACTTCCCTATAGGGAAATTCGCTAAAACCTGCTTGCGTATTAAATAAGTAATAAATGATTCAATCACCTTCATTACCACAACGCATGTTTCCATTTGAATTATATATTTAAAATAACACAAGTCTTTTTCTGTTTCAGGTAAAATGAGACTTTTGAAACCTCATTATGTAAGTATTACTTGTGATGTAGATAGTCATTTTATACGAGTGTCATTGAATGGTTGTAACATCCTGCATGGCCTTATAACACCACCCATGAACACAATAATTAGTATTGTTAGTTTATTCTATGCTTAACTATGAGACCTGGATTTTTATTGTCCTAGATAGCTGTTAACAACAGTTAGCTGTTCCCTCCCCTCAACCCTTCCACTGACATCACTGTATCATTGTCCTAGACATGTGGCAGGTAATGGAAGCACCAGGCGCCATCAAACCCCGGCACTTGACACACATATATGGATGTGTCCTAGACAGCTGGTGATAGTTGACGGATGAATGGATGGAAGTATAATTAATTACGGCTACTGATAACTGAGAATAATTTACGACTACTGAGGTCAACAGTCGGCTGCTCTCACTCGTTAAGGAAATCATTGTCCTAAACAGCCGGTGTTTGTTAATGGATGCAGGAAATGTAATTAATCGTTGCTACTGATAACTGAGGATTAATCAGGACTGCTGAGGACAACAGGCAGCTGCTCTCACACGTCAATGAATTGCTGTTCTCAACAGCTGGTGTTAGTTGATGTATGCAGGGAACGTATTTAATTACTGCTACTGCGTCGTAGAGCTGCTGCTTCCATATATGTTGAATGCTGAATGGTCGGTTTCAAATTTTCTTCGATTGGGGCATGGTGGTTTGTAAGCTCCGTAGTCTGGAAGCAGAGTGCTGTTGGCTGTTGTTGTTACTGTAACTGCATACCCACTTGCAAGTAGAACTCTCAACTCTTCAGCAAAAACATCTATATCATGGTAGGTTGAAAGTTGAACATCGTCGTACTGGACAAACTTCACCTTGAGAGACATAATTGTTGTATTGAGCTGAAGTTGCCTCTAGGAAGTCCGCAGAACGATTGAAGGCATAGGACTATCTTCTTGTATTTATAGGTAAAGTCCATCCCCCCCCTCCTAGCTACCCCCACCACTAATCTTTTTAAAGGGCCTCGTATTACACCATAAATATTTTCATCACAGAAATAATAGGGGTTCTACAATAAACGCAATTGTCAACACTTAGGCCGCACATGATGCAGCTGCAAAAATGCTTGCAAGGTAAAAACACAATTTCCCTCTCTGCGGACAAACATACTATGCACTCCGATCCTTGTTTTTGTACCGGTTCGTTTGTTCCTACGCCTTTGGTTGAGCTTCTCTTTTTAACTATCACATTTTTATTTATTCGCTTGGAATATTTGTTCACAAAGTCTTGCCCCTTGTTAACAATCACAAAGGGGCATCTTGGAAACCATCGTGCATGTTCTTGCCACGGATCATCTTCTTCTTGCCAATCCTTTAATCCTCCTCCACAGTAGTAACATATAGTTTCATCATTCTTCCCCGTGTAAAAAAAACCCTGCTTCGGATAATTCCCATTTGGAATTGTTTACGACAGAGTTATGTAAACTTTTTTCAAAAGAATTTAGCCTAGTTTGAAAGTGAGTATAGTTCGGAAAGGCAATTTTAATCTTCAAAATGGTTGCGGACATATTAAGAGAGTAGATGGCTTGCTGCAATCAAAATGATTAAAACCCAACTGTTAGCAACGTTTTATACGCAAAGAAGAGGGGTGGGGGTTAGCTCGTTTGTAATCGATTGTAAAAATGTTGTTTCTGATTTAGGTCAAGGTCATCCATATCAGTTTTTAAAAAATATCATGTTAGTATTTTAGACAAAATACTAACATGATAATTTATAATATTTTATTTATATACAATCATTTGTACAATATTCTTATTCTAACAACAGTGCAAAGAGAGTTCTGTAGAGTTGTTCCCACTAACTCCATGAGATACCAAATAGAGAGAGCCCGGTTCGATGCTGCGTAGATCCTCATTTTGTAACATGCTGACAAACCGTTTTGGAAGAAACATTTGGAACTTTGGTTCATCTCCTGGAGTAAAAGGTGCATCGCTTAAGGAGACTAGAATAGCGTCCCCAATAGATGTTTCCATTTTCTTCATTCTATGCACAATATAATGTTTTGGTTCCTTAAGTTCTGAACACTTTTTAGTAATTAAAACACTTGACTTTGAATGAGTGTTGAACTGATCAACAAGGTTCTGGAGTTGAGATGCCATCTTTATTGGTCAAGCTGTAGGTGTTTTCCTGTCCTAGGTTGGAACAATACTGATGTGTTGTCTGCACACTTTCCTCATATTTATACCCATCGATTCCCCCACTACCGCTGCTCTCCTTTTGGTTTAGGAATGATGCTATACGGTATGCATTTTTTAAAGCACATTGACCTTGACGATGACATTTGTTTTTGCCTGCAAGACAAATACCGTCATAACACATTTTAAAATTTGAGTCAATCGTTACATCAATCACGTTACCAATGGTATATTTTTGAATCCAGCTTCGTTTTTCCAAACCTTTAGTGTAAATACGGTTGAATTTCGCACAAAAGTGATACATTACATCATCGACAGTGTTGTAATCTAAAAATCCTTCATTCCATGCAATGTGATGAAAATTCCTAGTAACCCACTTATTAGTTAACTTGGCTTTAGAATTTAGTTTTTTAAAAGAATGTGGTGGTTTAAACATAAAGGGATAGACAACGTACGTTAATAAATCTAAAATTACTAACTCCTTAACAACATATTCATTTGTATTTCCACGAAAAGCTTGGAACTCAATCACACAGGGTTTCTCTTCTATTGTTTTAACTTTGTCTGAGAACCATACCCTCTGCTCCATGGTAAGAATGTCAAGTAACTGATTTCCACACCACGGTAGGTTTTATATTTATACCAGGCCGTACAGTTAAGGCGCGTTGATGTATATTTAACGTGGGCATCATCCCCAAGTAGGCCTACCCCACGAGTTTAAATTAGTTTTTTTATTTCAAACTAAAACACACTTAGATTGGATGTGTTTCTTCAATATTTTCTTTTACGTCATCCGTTGTAGTCTTATTGATCTCGTAGTCTTTTATACTCCGCCACATTTCAACCTCATAGGGGATTCGATTAAAAATTGATGTATCGATCGGTCCGTGTAGAATCTGGGAGTCAGGGTATTGATCCATAGCATCCACTAAATATTCTTTTATTACAGAGCTTGAAAATGTTAGTTGTTTCATGTATCTAGTTACAGGTGAGCGGCACAACTCAAAACATAAAATTCTTCTCTTGTTAGTTGAATCTTAATATCGTGTTTTGATAGGTCTCTGAAACGTATTTGCTGTCCTCCACGATACTTATAAATATCTATTTCTATGTCACAATCCAATAACCGAATAGCCGTTTTTTTTACCAAACATGTTTTTAGCCAAATAACATTCGATTAAGTGCAAATGTTTTATGAATGAGTCCCAAACATGCTCCGAAAAAAACAACATTTTTGCTCCATGATTTAAAATTGCGTTAGGTGTGTATGACAGGTCCTTCACTAATCCGATTGCAATGATCTTGTTCTAAGTTTAATGTAGATTATTTTTGTAGTTCGTTATATTTTAAGAAAAAAAAACGCACCGTTTTCAAGATATTTGTAAAATAGTAAAAAACGCCCCATTCCCCTCACTTTTCTCATAAACCTTCCTTCCCAAATCCGACACTCAAATCAGTGTAACTTTTTTGCACATATTAAGGGAGGTTTATTGAACAATTTGGCACTCAATAGAAACTTTTTTTATGGGTGTCCATGGATTTTCTCCATTTAAAAAGCAATTTTTTTTAATTTTAAGAAAAAATCACATTTACCCCCCAATATCTCCTGAACCGTTTATAGTAGATGGGTACTGTATGGTATCATTTTGTTCGAAATTTAATGTAGATTATTTTTGTATTTATTGTATTAAAAAAAAAAAAAACGCTCCATTTTTTAGGTATTTGCGAAAAAGTAAAAAAGTCCTATTTCCACCTCAATTTCTTTAAACCCTACTTCTCAAACCCGACACTCAAATCAGTGTAACTTTTTTACACATATTAAGGGAGGTCTATTGAACAATCTGGCACTCATTAGAAACTTTTTCTATGGGTGTTCATGGTTTTTCTCCATTAAAAAACAATTTTTTTTAGAATTTTAAGAAAAATCACATTTACCCCCCAATATCTCCTAAACCGTTTATAGTAGATAGGTATTGTATGGTATCATTTTGTTTGAAATTTAATGTAGATTATTTTTTTAATTCATTGTATTTTAAGAAAAACGCACCGTTTTTGAGGTATTTGCGAAAAAGTAAAAAAAGTCATATTTTCACCCCATTTTTACCCCCTCCCCCCCAAACCCGACACTCAAATCAATGTAACTTTTTTTTACATATTGAGGGAAGTGTATTCAACAATTTTGCACTGGTTTGAAACTTTTTTTTGGATGTCCCGGTTTGCTCTTTTTTTAAGCTAATTGCACTGTACTACACTGTATATGGCATCATTCAACTAACACTAGCTGTTTTGGACAGCAATTCATTGACGTGTGAGGGAGCCGACTTTTGTTCTCAGCAGTTAATCCTGATTAATCCTCAGTTATCAGTAGCCGTACTAACACCAGCTGTTGAGGACAGCAACTCATTGACGTGTGAGAGCAGCTGACTGTTTTCCTCAGCAGTCCTGATTAATCCTCAGTTATCAGTAGCAACGATTAATTACATTTCCTGCATCCATTAACAAACACCGGCTGTTTAGGACAATGATTTCCTTAACGAAGATAGTCCTATGCCTTCAATCGTTCTGCGGACTTCCTAGAGGCAACTTCAGCTCAATACAACAATTATGTCTCTCAAGGTGAAGTTTGTCCAGTACGACGATGTTCAACTTTCAACCTACCATGATATAGATGTTTTTGCTGAAGAGTTGAGAGTTCTACTTGCAAGTGGGTATGCAGTTACAGTAACAACAACAGCCAACAGCACTCTGCTTCCAGACTACGGAGCTTACAAACCACCATGCCCCAATCGAAGAAAATTTGAAACCGACCATTCAGCATTCAACATATATGGA